GGGAGCAGGTACAGGAATAAAGAGCTGGGCTGTCCGCACCCCTGTCTGACTTGGCTACCATGGAGCTGTGTGACTGTGGACTAATCCCTCACCCTCTCTGGGCCTTATCGTTCTTATCTCTAAATGTGGGTAATGAAAATATTTCCCTCCTTGAGGTGCTGTGAGGGATTCTTGAGCTGACAGAAGAAAAGCCCTGAGAATGAGACCCAGTGCATGGTTCTAGGCACAGAGCCTAGCACCAGGGAAAAGGTAATTTAATAAGCTGCCATTGTGTTTAGTTTTGGTAGCACTACTAGTAGGTGACGGTCGTGGCACTGTCTTTGTTTTTACTATTTTAAGATGGTGCATGTTCTGGGAAGAACTTTTTCAAACTTGAGAATTATGAGCTTACTGTTTCACTTCCTATTCAAAGGTCTACAGCAAATACACAATGGGCTATGGAAATGGGCAGGGGTGTGTCTCGGGGCTCAGGGAACCCTTTACCCAGACAATTCCCATCTCAGCTCCTTGGATGTTTGGCATGAGAGATGTGGGACTTATTCCTCTTTAGACAGATGTGTTTGCTGGATTTGCTGATGCTGGGCTGAGTCCCTGGCACTGGGCACGGGTGGGAGGGAAGAGGCCTGTGGCCAAAGCATAGAGGTGAAGTTCCTGCCTCTTTCAGGCACGCAGCTTGGGAATTGGGGTGGCTAAGGAGGAAATCAAGTGAATGGGTGAGGCAAGGGAGGAAGACAGAGTGAGGAAGGACATTGCTCTGTCAGGAAGCTGAGCCCTGAGTCCCCAGATGGTAGCACAAGAACGAGGGTGCAGAGGATAAAAAAAAATCTGCTGAATAAACTCAACATTCTGTTTAGCCACTCAAGCAATAAATATGCACGGCGCCGGAACTCTCTACATGTCACAAAGCACATCGCAGCTCCCTTGGCTGGTCAGTGCTCGCTGTGACAATAGAACGGCTGTCATTCCACTTTTACTGTTGCAGAGATGGTGGTTGTAGGGGGTCACCTTTGCAAAGATCCCACAGCCAGGGTGGGGACCAGCAGAGACCTGGGCCTGTGACACCAATCCCACCTCCTTCATCTTCAATGCAGAATCGACTTCATACCAGCCCTACGTCCTGTGCTAGGGGGAGCCACACAAGAACCAGCCGATCATCTCCACAAATGACAACCTAGCAGATAGGGAGGGAGAAGTCCCCAGGAATGCTACAGAAAAGCACTGGCCACTCAGAAGGACAGCATCTTAGCGTGTGGGATCCAGGCACCTGGTTTTGTGGGAAGGGGATTCTGAATCCAGCATTGAAGGAGGGGAGGGGGGCATCCCAGGGACAAGGCACTGAAAATTTAGGACACCACTCTGGAGAGCTGCATGTGTCTCAGCCTGGCTGGTGTGGGCACCAGGAAGATGCATTTCGGGCCCAGGCCTAGAGATGGGGTCTGTTCACGGGAACAAGGGTTGGGCCAAGGCCTTGGCACTGTATCCCATGGATGGAGGAAGCCACAGAAGACTCTCAGCAGGAGGAAGCTCCCTCTGGCAAGGGTGAAGAAAGGAAACAGATCAGGAAGCAACTGGAGACACCCCCCAGGTGAGAAGCACCTGCAGTGGTCCAGGGAGGAGGAGAGGCGGGGCTGAGGGCTGCAGCAGTGCCATGGCGATTTGGACGGATGTTATTGGGTCAAGAAATACCCAGCCCATCTAGGATCCCCTCAGCAGAGACTGCTGCCAGGTTAAAGAACATCCTACGAGCTATGCTGCCGTGTGACAGGTGAGCACAGCACAGTGGCTGACAGCAAGGATGCCCAAACATGACCTGCAAATCCCCCTCTGCCACTTGCTCCCTGTGTGGCTTGGTGCCACAACCCTGGGGCCTCAGTTTCCTCATCTATAGAATGGGAAAGATGAGAAGTGCTGAGAGCAGAGCCTGGCCTTTCATGAGTGCTCAATACATGTCAAGCTGTGTCATTACTATCTGTTATATTTACAAAGCTATTTGCACAAATTACCCCCTCCAACGTTCAGAATAAGCCCATGGAGCAGGTTTTTTGTTTTGTTTTGTTTTCTGAGTGTCTCATTCTGTCACCTAGGCTGGAGTGCAGTGCTGCAATCATGGCTTCCTGTAGCTTCGACCTCCTGGGCTCAAGCCATCCTTCTTCTTCAGCCTCTTGAGTAGCTGGGACTATAGGTGTGCACCTGGCTAGGCTAATTTTTTAACACCACACCTGGCTAACTTTTTTGTAGTTTTTGTAGAGACAGAGTCTCACTCTGTTGTCCAGGCTGATCTTGAACTCCTGACCTCAAGCAATCTGCCCGCTTCAGCCTCCCAAAGTGCTGGAATTATAGGCGTGAGCCACTGCGCCCAGCCTGGAGAATGTAATCTTGATCCCCTCTTCAAATACGCAAACAGGCTCAGTCATGACTTTCTGGGGACATGCAATCGGTTCACTGGGGAATTGAAGCCCCTTGGGCAACCTGTGGCTACCCTGCACAGAAGATAGCCCCCTAGCTGTTCCCAGCCCTGCCAGTGGCAGCCCTACTGCTGCAATGCTTCAGGAGGCACCTGAGTGGGCTGGGCCAGGTAGGGGAATCTATGGAGGCCCATCCTTCCCATTCCCTGTTTGAGATGCATCCTGTCTGATCCATGAGCCCGGGTGGCTGCTGCTTTCTGCTTGAGGGCACAGACTCGTGGATGCATTCTCCAACATCACTTTTAATCTCCCCAACATGCCTCAGTGTCTGGCTGTGTGGGAAAAGCCACAATGCTAACTTCAATTAAAAACTGTTCTCATGCATCTTGCTTTGCTTGAAATGTTCTCAGCACGGGTGAGGGATTGGAGTCTTTCAAGATGTCTCCAGCAAGACGGTAGATGATTAAAACCTACCCCGGGAGGCCTGAGATGGTGCATAAGTATAAATAAGCCAATGTTCACAAGATTCTTAAAAGAAGGGAAAGGTGAGTTGAGAGTGGAAGTCAGGGAAGAGGGGAGGTAGAAATGGTGTCATTAAGGATCTTTATTCCGGTGGAATAAAATAGCACTGGGTCACAGAGGGCAGTTATTTCCAGGAGCCACAAGTTGTGTTTGTGAGTAAGTTGGACATAGACAGAGGTGTAGAGTGACCGAGTGAGGAGGATCTGCCCCATGAAGTGTGGGCAAGGAGGAGAGTGGAGACCCTGAGCTGAGGGAGTGAGCCATGAGACGCAGCACGTGGGAGCCAGGTGGCTGATTCAAATCTGCGCCTCAGTTGCTTCACCTGAAAATTGGGCTTAATTGTAATCTCGACTTCAGAGCATGGTGGTGAGGCTTAGCTGTGCTGCTCCGTGTAACACAGAGAGCCTGGCACACAGCAAGGCAGGCGTTAGCATGGTCGGCATGGTCAGTTCTGGTTATGGTGACTCAAGCAACCAATGACACTTGAAGGTTAGCTTCTCCAACCTTCATGATAGGAGCCAAGAGAAGGAAAAAGCTTCAGTGCCTTCACATTGTTCTCCACAAAGGATTCAGGGGTAGAGGCAAGCTTCCTTCCAGATAGACTACAGGAGGCCTGCAGGATCCTCTCCCAGGATGTCTACTAGCACCATGTGATTTTCCTGACCAAAAGTATAAAAAATGGACTCCACTTCCAAGGGCCAATAGACATCATTCATCAGCAGGAGGCCAAACAGATTCCCCTTTTGCAGAAGACATCACTCCTGCAATGTTTGGCAGAAAGGAGTCTGCTGCTGGGCCCTTAAGGGAACCTCAGAAGGGAGGGATGCCCTGATGGCGAGCTGCTTTTAGCTGCAGGGGCAGAGGAGAGGCATGGCCCCTCCCGGGGGGAGCAAGCTTCCTGTCCTCCAATGCCCCTCTCAGTTCTTTCAGACTCCTGTGGGGTCCTCACCTCCACCTCTGGCACCAGCCTGTCTGAGTCGTGGGACACCTGTCTTCAGCCACAATCCACTCTGCCTGGACAGGCTACAGAGACAGCCAGGCTGGAAGGAGTTGTGACAGAGAACCACACTCTCTGGGGTTCAGATCTGCCTCCATCTCACCCCAACACTCTACAATCCATCAGCTGTGACTCAATCCTAGCCTTGGGCTCAGATCTAGCCTTGACCCCAGCTTAGCCTCTTCTCACCTGGATGACTTTGGGCAAGGCCCCAAAGCTCTCTGAGCCTCAGTATCCTCTTCTCTAAAATGGGCATGCTGAATGTGTTGCCTTCGTAGGCTGCCCGTGCAGCACAGAACCTGGCTGTTAGCAGGTGCTCAAGATTCACCTACACCATCTGTCCTCTTCTTCCACCAGAGGGTGGGGCTCCTGCCTCACCGGTCTTCGTGCCTAGGAATGATGTTCTGTATGCAATGTGTGCTCTCACGCTGTTGGTAAGGATGACAAGGATGATGAAGGCTGGCAATCACTTCTTTCTGGCTTTCCACATTCCCCAACACAGCCTGCCGCAAGGCTGGCCCTGCCTGATTGATTTGATTATTGGGATACGCAGCAGGGCCCAGATGGAACCTCCTCAGGGAGAGAAGAAAGATTGGCAGGAGGTCAGAGAGAAAGCAGGAGATACAGGAAGGGCTGCTAGGACTCGGTGCAGAGAGACGGGGGTGCAGGGTGCCTGGGAGAGCACATTAGTCACCCCCCCTCAGGTGTCCCTCAAAGCTGCTGGAAACCAAGTCTTAATTCATTTCTAATCAGCTTCCAGAGCTTCATGCTGAGGAAATGGATGCGGGGTCTTCACGAGGGCTGGAGGAAATAAGCAGTATTCCAGCTCTTGGCTAAATGATAGGCTGGCAAACTGCATGGGCCTCAGGCTGGAGCAACCTGCTTCCACCATTTCCCTTCACTTTCATCCTTCTGAGGAACCAGACTTCCTAGGGCCCAGGTATTTGGGATGGAGGCCTAAATAACCCATCCCTGTTCACTGAACTACCCAATTCTGGCTCCTGGTATACAGACCCCACACCTGAATTACAGACTGGCTCCCTCAATGTCTCATGGAACATCGTGTCACAGGATACCTGGAAGAACTCCAAGCGGCAATGGCAGGATGGAAAGGAGTTAGGCTGGTCCATGCATGATTTGGCTTTCTCACTGTTGTTCCCCAGGCTCACTTGACCTGTAGAGTATGTATGTATGTTACTCACATTTTGTGGCATTTAGGAGACAGGGAGAAAGAGAAGTGCCGGATGGACCAGGGTCCATAGCTGGGAGGTAGGGGTGATGGTCTAGATTTAGATTCAAGTGTTAACATTCCTTTTCTCCACAATTGGAGAAAAGGAAGAAGGGTGGAAATATAGCTGTTAAAAACACAGGCTTAAGAAAATTCCACTTCCAGCCAAAATGGAGTAATAGGGACTAGATTTACTCTCCCAACTGAAACAACTGAAAACCAGATAAAATACTTGAAAATGATTTTCAAGACACTGTACATCAGACAATGAAGGACAGTGACCCTTGAGAGATGGGGAATTAGCAAGGTGAGCCATACAGGTGCTCCAGTTTACTGCCAGTGGAAAGTTTCCAGGCCATGGAGCAGGAAACTCAGGCAGGGCTCAATAGACTCCCTGAGTTGAAGAATGGAAATGAGTCTAGGGAGAGTGAGGCAGCTGGAGACCATAGGACAGAGTACGGAGAGAAGACAGCTGCCCAGAGAGAGAACCCTGGGCTTTGAGAGAGGGACCACTCAAACATTCAACAGTGCATGTTTGTGCAGAAGCTGCCTGAGGTAGGGAAGGAATCACCCAAAAAATTGCAGGAAACAGTGCCTGGCACCCGTACAGGACCAGAAATAGTGCCTGTTTCCCTCAGCCATTTTGAAAATCTCATCATTTATGGGGCACTGAGTAGGTAGAATACTCAGAACGGCATTGCCTTAGTGATGGGGAATAATTACTCTTAGATTAAATATGGCTTGATCCTGCCTAACAAATCTTAAAAACAGTACTTACAAAAATCAAACTGTTCTCAAGCATCTGAACCGCATCCCAGAACAAAGCACAAGAATATTTATGGGAATATAAAAATATCTAGCGTACACCACAGTAAAATTCACAATGTTTGGCATCCAACCAAGAATCATCAGGCATGTAAAGCAGCAGGAAAATATGAACCATATGAGGAGAAAAGGCAATCAATCAAAAGCAATCCAGAATTGACATATTCATAATTAATAAGTGAGGACATTAAAACAGTTGTTATAACCATATTCCATATGTTCAAAAAGCTACAGGAAGCAATGAACATCTTAAGAAGAGAATGGAAGAGATATGTTTTATGTAAAAGATCTAAATTAGCTTCTAGAGATGAAAACTATAATATCTAGTATCATAAGTACACTGGGTGGTGCCATTATTAATAGCAGATTAGATATTCAGAAGAAAACCTTGTTAACTTGAAGGCATATCAATAACAACTATCCAAATACAACACAAACAAAAACAAAGACCAAAAAAAAAAGAGAAGAGAGCATCAGTGAGCAGTGAGACAACTTCAGGTGACCTAATATATGTGTATTAGTGACAAAAGAAGAGGAGAGAGAAGACAGAACTATAAATATATATATACACACACACACATATACATACATATATAAATATCCATATATATACATGAAGGACAGTGACCCTTGAGAGATGGAAAATTAGCAAGGTGAGACATACAGGTGCTCCAGTTTACTGCCAGTGGACAGTTTCCAGGCCATGGAGCAGGAAACTCAGTCAGGGCTCAATGGACTCCCTGAGTTGATGGAGATATATATATATCCATATATAGACATATGTGTGTGTATATATATCTCCAAAGAAATAATAGCAGAAAAATTCCAAAAGTGATGCAAACTATAAATCCACAAGTGCAAGAAACTCTCCAAACTCCAAGCACAAGAAACATGAAGAAAATGACACTAAAGTACATTATCATCAAATTGTCCAAAATCAATGATACGGAAAAAAATCTTTAAAGCAGCCAGATGTCAAAAAGATGCATTACGTTCAGAGAAACAAAATAAGGATGGCAGCAGATTTTGCACTGAAAATAATGTAAACTAGAAGATGATGGAACAATATCTTTAAACTGTCAACTTAGAATTCTATGCCCAGGAAAAAACAAACAAACAAACTTTAAAAAAACAAAGCCCTTTCCCCCCACACACATACAAAAGATATAAGAATGAATTCATCAGCACTTCTGCATTACTAAAAAAAGTCTTTCAGGCAGAAGGGAAATGATTCCATATAGAAACATGGATCTGCACAAAGGAAGGAAGGGCACTGGCTATAATAACAACATGGGAAAATAAATGAAAATGTTTCTTACTATTTAAACCATTTAAGAGAAAACTGACTTTCAACAAATAATAACAATGTATAACAACAATAGCACAAAAACTAAGAAGGGAGAAATAGAGTTTTACTGTTCTAAAGTTCTTTCTGTATGTACAGTGGCATACTATCACTTGCAGATCCAATCTGACAACCTCTGTTTTTTTAATTGGAGTGTTTAAACTGTTTACATTTAATGTGATTATTGATATGGTTGGGTTTAAATCTATTATTTACTGTATTTGTTTTCTATTTTTTCATCCGTTCTTTCCTTTGTTTTTCTTCTTTTTCTGCCTTCTTTTAATAGGTTGTAATAAGTTAAAGAGCTATCCTATAAATACAAAAGCAACCATAAATTAACAAAACAAAGAGTTGTGTTTAATAAGCCAGCAGAGGAGATAACATGGAAACATTTAAATTTCCCAACCCAAAAGAAGGCAGAAAAAGAAGAAAAACAGAGCAAAAGAAGGATGAAAAAATAGAAAATAAATACAATAAATGGTAGATTTAAACCCAACCATATCAGTAATCACATTAAATGTAAAAAGTTTTGGCCAGGAGCAGTGGCTCACACCTGTAACCCCAGCACTTTGGGAGGCCAAGGAGGACGGATCACAAGGTCAGGAGATCGAGACCATCCTGGCTAACATGGTGAAACTCCATCTCCACTAAAAAATACAAAAAAAACAAAAATTAGCTGGGCATGGTGGTGGGCACCTGTAGTCCCAGCTACTTGGGAGGTTGAGACAGGAGAATGGTGTGAACCTGGGAGGCAGAGCTTGCAGTGAACTGAGATCATGCCACTGCACTCCAGCCTGGGTGACAGTGAGACTTTGTCTCAACAAAATAAATAAAATAAAATAAAATAAAAGTTTCAACACTCCAATTAAAAAGCAGAGATTGTTAGATTGGATTTTAAAATAGGCTCTTAAAAATTTATGTCCACAGAAAAACCTGAACAGAGATGTTCATGGCAGCTTTATTAATAATTGCCAAAACTTCAGGTGATCTGCCTGCCTCAGCCTCCCAAAGTGCTGGGATTATAGGCGTGAGCCACCACGCCCAGCCCAACACGGCGAAACCCTGTCTCTACTATAAATACAAAAAATTATCTGGACGTAGTGGCGGGCACCTGAAATCCCAGCTACTCGGGAGGCTGAGGCAGGAGAATTGCTTGAACTCAGGAGGTGGAGGTTGCATTGAGCTGAGATCATACCACTGTACTCCAGCCTAGATGACAGAACGAGACTCCATCTCAAAAAGCAAAGCAAAAACTTGGAAGCAACCAAGATGTTCTTCAATAGGTGAATGGATAAACAAACTGTGGTACATCCAGACAAAGGAATATTATTCAGCACTAAAATGGAAAAAGCAGGCTGGGCACAGTGGCTCACACCTGTAATCCCAGCACTTTGGGAGGCCAAGGTAGGCAGACCACCTGAGGTCAGGAGTTTGAGACCAGCCTGGCCAACATGGTGAAACCCCATCTCCAGTAAAAACACAAAAATTACCTGGGCATGGTGGCATGCATCTGTAATCCCAGCTACTCGGGAGGCTGAGGCAGGTGAATTACTTGAACCTGGGAAGCACAGACTGCAATGAGCTGAGATCATGCCACTGCACTCCAGCCAGGGCAACAGAGTGAAACTGCGTCTCAAAAATATAAAAAATAAATAAAAATAAAAAATAAAATAGAAAAAGCTATCAAGCCTTAAGTGCATATTACTAAGTGAAAGCAGCCCATCTGAAAAGCTACATACTGAATGATTCCAACTATGATACCCTGGAAAAGGTATAACTGTGAAGATTGTAGAAAGACCAGTGATTGCTAGGGATTGAGGGAAGGAAGAGGTGAATACATGCAGTCCAGAGGACTCTTGGGCCAGTGAAAATACTGTCTATAACGTGGATCCACGTCATTATACATTTGTCCAAGCCCACAGAATGTACAACACCAAGAGAGAACCCTAATGTAAACTATGGACTTTGGAGTGTTTTGTTTTTGTTTTTCTTTTTGTTTTTTGAGATGGAGTCTCACTCTGTCGCCCAGGTTGGAGTGCAATGGCACAACCTCAGCTCACTGCAACCTCCACCTTCCGGGTTCAAGCAATTCTCCTGCCTCAGCCTCCCAAGTAGCTGGGATTACAGGTGCCCACCACCATGCCCAGCTAATTTTTGTAGTTTTAGTAGAGACAGGGTTTCATCATGTTGGTCAGGCTGGTCTTGAACTCCTGACAACAAGTGATCCTCCTGCCTCGGCCTCCCAAAGTGCTGGGATTACAGGCATGAGCCACCACGCCCAGCGACTATGGAGGATTCTGATGTGTCAGTGTAGGTTCATCAGTTGTGGCAAATGCACAGCTCCAGTGGGGATGCTGATGGTGGAAAAGGCTGTGCATAAACAGGGGCAGAGGGCCGTCTGAGAAATCTCTATGCCCTCCTCTCAATTTTTCTGTGAACCTAAAATATCTCTTTAAAAAAGTTCTTAAAAATAATAGGCTGACGTGATGCAGAGGCCTTTGTTTTATCCCCAGCTATGTGCCCTCCAAGCCTCAGTTTCCTCACCTATAAAATGGATCTGAATGTGCCTATTCCATGGGGCCGCTGCAAGGATTCAGTGAGATTCTGTGTATTGCTCAGCACAGGGTTTGTCTGGTACCTCAAAGGCATCGTTGAATGGTAGCTGTGATGGGAAGGTACAGGGACGTCTTGAGGGGACACAGTGAGGAGGGAGTGAACACAGATGGGTCTCCATCACCTCAGCGTAGAAAGAGCTGGGGTACAGGACCTGAGCAGAACAGAGCACACAGCAAGTGCTCCCTAAACAATCAAGCGTTTCACTGGAGACTTGCCGTCCACCCGCAGATGTCCCAGTTCTCTTAGCTTTGTGAGATTCCATTGTTCAAGTCAAATGTCTGAAATCTTAAAACACTAGAAAATTGGTCTACAAAAATCACTGGAATGTTTACTTCTTGAACTGCTCATTACACCTCTGCATAAAATGTAGCCTTGTACTCTCTCCTGAAGCGGGTCTAATTAGAAGGATAAAATATTTAAATCTTTGCAATGGAAACCTGAAGTACAACAAGACAAGCCCTAAGATAACAGACAATTTGTATTTTAATGTTAATTCTTGCTTGAAGGAAAAGAAGCACTCATTGGCTGAAGAAAATATTCTCCAAGAAGCAGACTGCCAGATTCCCTGGAATTCTATTTTTCTGGACGGTGATATGTTCCTCTGGGGATGGACAACTTCTGCTAGTCTCTTGCGTATCTGTCAGAATGAGGCCCTTCCCCGTAGCTAAGAGAGTGTCAAGAGATAAAAAAAATCATCTCTCCAATACGAAGAGATGTCTTTTGTATCTTTTGCCTCCTGAAAAATGACTGAAATGCAAATTAACTGTGAGTCTCTCAAGGTCCTGGGGGTAAAGAGAAGGGGAATTAGCAGGGGATATGCCAGCATCTCAGCTGTGATTAGATACACATGTGGTGTCTCCCAGAAGGACAGGCCCAGTGTTAACATGATGTAAATATGTAGGTGAGACTGAATCCTCCCACCTAGCAAGGGCCAGATTCCAAGAGACAGGCGGAAGAGAGAGGTGGGGGAATTCCCAGCTCCTCAAGCACAGGAAGCCTACTTGGATCTCCCCAGTACAAAGCTGAACCAAATAAAATGGTCATTTGATAGGTCAAAAATGGTCAGATGTCAGCAATTTCACATGGTTCAGCCTAATAAAGTCATGGCCTACCTCCTTAGGAATAAGTGACTTTTCTACTGGGCATGGCAGTGTTTTAAGGTTTTGCCAAGTTCTATACACCATTATTTAGTCTAGAGATAATACACTGTCAGCCCCGGGACGAATCCAGCCCACACACCTGTTTTGTTTGGTCCAGGTAGTAGCCAGTCACCAAGGACAATGACCATCCATTCTGTCCCTCTCTCCTAGACACACACGCTACATGAAGAGCTGGAATCCAACTCTCCTTCCTTTAAATCTGGGCTGGCCTGGAGACTTTCTTGACCAAAAGAATGTAGTGTTAATGACATTCTGCGACTTCCAGGCAGGTCCTAGTAAGCCTGCAGCTTCTACCTAGAACTGCTGGAATACTCTTGGGGGAGCCAACACCATGCAAGAAGAGCAACAACCCTGGGACCTCCATACTGGGAGGAAGCCCAAGCCACCTGAAGAAGCCCTTGCAGGATGAAATCCCAAGAGGAGAGAGTGGTCAAGTTGCCTGGAGGCACCAGACAAGTTCGGAGGAAGCTACAGGCTAGAAGCCTAGACTCCAGCCCCTGCTGTTCCAGCTGATGCCACTGGGGCAAAAACAGGACCCTTGAAAGCTCCCAGGTGATTCTAATGGCAACAACATTTGAGAACCACTGGGTTGGCCAGGTGCGGTGGCTCAAGCCTGTAATCCCGCACTTTGGGAGGCCGAGACGGGCGGATCACGAGGTCAGGAGATCAAGACCATCCTGGCTAACACGGTGAAACCCCGTCTCTACTAAAAATACAAAAGAAAAAATTAGCGGGGCGAGGCTGAAGCAGGAGAATGGCGTGAACCCGGGAGGCGGAGCTTGCAGTGAGCCGAGATCTGCCCACTGCACTCCAGCCTGGGTGACAGAGCAAGACTCCGTCTCAAAAAAAAAAAAAAAAAAAAAAGAGAACCACTGGGTTGAAACCACTCACTATAGGGACGGGACAGTGCAAGACAAAAATAAGGTTGCGCTCTTATGCCCGAGGCATGCTTTCACAGGAGAGTTACACCGTAAGAACAAGCGAAGGAGTCCTCCTGTCTCTGTTGTCCATGCCAATCCCCCGTAACGCGTGCTGGCTTAACCTGCAGAACGTTCCTGAAATGCTCGCTCCCTTCCCCCAGCGCCATGGCCTCTGTGTCACTGCACTTCTTGGATGATGTGGGCTTCCCCCGGAGCAAGTGAGTGTCCCAACAGGCCCAAGTGGAAGCTAAGGCTTTTTAGGACTTAGCCACAGAATGTCACCAATACTGCATTCTCTTCACCAAGAAAGCCACTACACTTTCTCTTCACCAAGGATAGTCCCAGATTTAAGGGGAGAAGAATCAGATTCCAGCTCTTGAAGTGGTGGGCAGCAAGCGTGTCCAGGAGGGAGAGAGGAAATGCACAGCAGCTGTCTTTGAACATGGGTGACCCCACCAATGACACAGGGATTTTGGACTCAGTCCTAAAAGACTGATTCTCCCCTTGTCCCCAGGCCACTGGGCGCCCAGGTGACCCTGTCCTCTTGGCCACTCCTGGTCAAAGAGAAATGGATGCCCTTTTGCACTGTTTATATCCTCCAGACTCTCCAGAGACTCAGGGACTGTGTGGAGTGGGACTGGGGTGTTTCCCGGGTGGGGGAGAGGGCAACCAGGAGCCTCCAGGGCTCAGAAGCAAGATGGGGCCCATGAGCACACCCTCAGTGCCTGCAGCCTCTCTTACACTGTCACACAGCCACGTGTACTGCACCAGGGAGGGTGCCTCTGCATAAGAGGATTTGCCAGATAACTGGTGTCTACTCTGTACACCCAAAGAGGATATCTATTTAATGCTTAGCTTCTGAGTGG